CAGCGAAGTATCGGTGATGGGGCTCTGCTTTGTTATCCGGCGCACCTCGTCATTTGATGCGCGGGACATCATTGAATGCTTGGTCTCACTGATTGACCTCAGCATCCGGGCTTGGGCGCCGTTCAAGCGTCTACGCTCTGCAGCGGTCAGCCAGACGGTGCTGAGGCTGTACAGCATTTTCGGCACCACCGTGGCGTTCAACAGCTCCTCTTGTGTGAAAAACTAATCGAACTGCGGCCCCTGGCCACACATAAAAAGGGGAAACCAAGCTAAAACGAGGGCCTGCCCCTGTGGGCCACACGTCGAGCAGAGCACCAAAAGGAAGCGCGCAGCATGGGGGGGCCAAACCAGCTCACAGCGAGGTCCGGCCCGCCCTGCGGACCACGCGTGTGGGGGCAAACCAAGTGGCGGCAGCGAGGGCCGCCACCGCTTTCCAAGTCGCACCAGCATGTCCTATTTCCTCTGTGCGTATGTATGCATATATGTATATATGGACGTGTATTGATTTAATGTGGACGTGTATATATATATATATGTACAGACACATGTATACCTATATATATATACACAAATCTATACATGTATATATGGGCGTGTATCTATTCAATGTGATGCACACTGTGTATCGTTTGCCATACAGCATCTCCTGCTGAGGCCTCAAACGCACGTGAAACCATTGGCTTCCACCAGTCCGTTGTCGGAATGACACGTGTCACCCGTGCGCTTTTTCACTATCTCATGCTGAGGCCCGTCATACACATGAAACAAGTGGTCCAATATTAGGGCTGACGTGTCATCCATGTGATTTCGCAATATGTCATCCTTTCTTGAGGCCCAGAACACAAGAGAAACAAGTAGTGTCAACCGTTCATTGTTCGGGATGGCACACGTCACCCGTGTGCTTTTTATATCAATGTACATACATCGGCGGGTGTAGCACATATATATATATATATATGTATATATATATATGTATGTACACATACATACATATCTACATATATATATATGTACACAAGACTGCAATGGCGCTTCGGACCATGCACCTTGGTCCTTTGAGCTTCGTGCAACATGGCTCTTCGCGCCATCCACCGTGGCCTTGAAGTGCGGCCGGCTCCCCAAAATATGTTTGGGTTGTGTTGGGCCCGAATCTCGAGGCGGACCCTGCCATGCAGGGACGAGAACGCCGGAGGCTCCGAAACGACGGAAAACTGCAGAAAAACCTCGATCGTCGAACCTCGAATCTCGATCCGTTCACGTCCTCTGCCAGGATGAAACAAACCATTCCTGGGAGGAGGTCTTCGGAAGTCGCAGAGGTCTCCGGCCGTCTGGAGGTTGGGCCGTCGGGGGGTCCTCTTGAAGGCCTATTGGGCCGTCTTGGGGCGATCTCGGGGGCCTGTTGAGCTGTCAATGAATATGACCTCTCGAGGCCTTCTTGAAGCACCTCTTGGGTTTTTGTTGAACCGTGTTGGGGCCTTCGTCCTAGGGCCATCCTGGGCCGTCTTGGAGGGCGAGGGCCTTCTGGAAGCCGTCGTGGGGCCATCTTAGGCCCTCTTGGAAGCATCCCATAACGAGCCTTCTTGGGCCTCTGTTGGGAGCGTTTTGAAGGCCTCTTGGGCCCTATTCTGGCCGTCTTGGGAATCTCTTGGGCTGACTCGGGGCCCTGTTGGGCTTTCTGGGAGCGTTTTGGGGGGCCTCTTGGGGTTGGGTCGTCGTGGGGCGATGCCGGGGACCTCTTGGGCGGTCGTGGACGCTGCTAAGACGAACAAGCGTGTATGCAACAAATGCACGTCTTCCTGAAGGAATGAAACGATGTTTGCTTGGGGGGGCCCTTTTGAATGTCTTTTGGGGCGTCTCCGGGGCCTCTTAGGCGAATTGCGGCCATCAAAGTCCCTCTTGGGACGCTCCAGGGACGTCTTGGGGCCTTTGGGATCTTCTTTGGGGCCTCTTGGCGCCGCCAGTGGGCCGTTTGCACGGGTTGGGGGGTATGCTCGAAGGCCCAGAGGTCCCAAGTGACCCTGCCAAGGACTGTCCAGAAGGCTCCCGGGACCAAGCATCGGGGGGGTCTGTGTAGATCCGCCACCGTGTCCCTGGGCACGGAGTGGGCGTGTCTTCAGGTCCTGTGCTTCATCCAATGAACCTCAAAAATCCTCAATGCTCAGGATTCCTGAAGGGTCCCGGAGCCCAAATTCTCAAAAAATCTCCTGGGGCTTGCCGCGTCGTGTCCGAGAAGCGGCGCATCTCCTCGCATGACTCTTCGGGCCCAAGAGGGCCCCAACACGAGCCCAGGGGGACCCAGAGGCCCCCAAGACAGTCCAAGAGGACCCCGAGTCGCCGAACGATCGCCCCGAGACGCCCAAGATGGCCGTCAGACGGCCCCAGAAGCCTCCAAAACGGCCCAGGAAGCCTCCTAAGACCAATAATCAAACATCAATCAATCATGTTACTTTGATTTTTAAAGGATCTGGGCGGTCTCGCCTTTGTGGCTTCCCGACGCTCCAAGACGACCCAGGCGGCTCCCAACATCGCCCAAAGACAGCCCCGGAGGCCCCCCAGAGGGCCCCAAGAGGGTCCAAGAGAAGAGGGCCCCAGGACGGCCCAACAGGCGCCCAAGACGGCCCAAGAGGGCCCCAAGACGGCTCCAAGAGGGGGCCCACATGAGGAATCCGAGCGGACATTTCGAGCCCTCGTCCCAGAGGGCCCCCCGGGAGGCCCCAAGAGGCCCCCAAGAGGCGCCAAGAGGCCCCCAAGAGGCCCGAAAGATGCCCCACAAAGGCTCCCAAGAGGTCTCAAAGCTGCCCCCAAGCAAGAGGCCCCCGACTGCGCTCCAGAGAGGCCCAAGGAACATTCCCTGAGAACTCTGACCCCCCGCCCCTCCCCCCCCCCCAAAAGCATCCGCCATTCCGCCGCCCGGCTGCGTCGATGCCCTTTTCCGGGCCCCAAGACACCTCCCAGACGGCGTCCAAGACGAGCTTCACTTTCAGACCGCTCCCAATTCGCTTTCGGGGGCAATTCGGCTCCATTTCCGCCCCTTCTGGGCCCCTTGCTGGCCTCCAGGATTTGCTCCAAGGGCCCTCAAGAGCAACTCTTGGGCCCAACTTCGCGTGCAAACTCGAAATTTCAAAAGTATGACAGAAACCATAGGCTGAGGGTGTTTTTAGCCTCGTTGGGGGTCGCCTGGACGCCTCTAACATCTAACTCTCGTCGGGGAACTCTGCAAAATGCGAATTGCGACTGCGTTTTTGGGCGCGCTCGAGGCTTAGTTTTGTTTTGGACGATGCTGGGCCTAACATGAACCCCAAAACGAAGCCAAAACCGACCCCGAACTGGCCCGGTTTCTGACGGCATCCAGACGGGGTTGCGGCCCAACGCGGAGGTGCTCTCGCCTGGGCCGTCCAGAAGCTCCCCTGGGCCGCCTCGTGCTCTTCTTGGCCTCCTTTTGGGCCCTTCTCGGGGGCCCTTTTTGGCCCTCGCGGGCGCCTTCTTGGCGGTTATCGGACCGTCTTCAGCTCGTCTCGGGCAGTGTTCCGGCTATCTCTGGCCTCCTGCTGTGGGTAAGGATTACGGGCTCTAGAGAGCTAGCGTCCACTCCGCTGATCCGTCGGAACCGACGAACTCAACATCGACGAGCCACACGGCACAACTAAGCCCAATCCGCGATGGGATGGGTGAGAACTCGAGCGCAGTAAGAAATTACGAAACACATGCGGGGGAGTCGTTCGTTAGTTTCTGAATCTTGTCACCCAGTCTTGGCGTCTGCGTCTCTTCCGGCGAGAAATGGAATGGCGGGGCGGTGAATGCGAAGCGTTTTGAATAGATGGCTGATCCACGTCTGGAGGTGACGTGCTGAGCGGCAGCGTTTTCTTGCGAACGAACGCAAAGTGTCCAATGTATCGAATACGGCAACATTCCTGACATCGCACTCTCTTGCATTATTATGTCTCCACCCCTACCCCCCCTCGAGTCACCTCACGTCGGCGGACCAAGCTGGCAAACCCCGTTTTGAAGATGTACCAAAACGTATGACAAACAAATGATTTCGGCCTCTGGGGTTTCCTGTGGGTGCAAGAGGGCCTCAAGGCGGCTCAATGCAATTTCCCGAAAAACGGCCCAAGAGGGCTCCAGGATTGCCCATAGAGGCCCCAGGAAGGCTCAAGAGCCCCCCAAGACGGCCCAAGAGGACCCCAGGAAAGCCACAAGGCGGCCCCGAGAGGCCCCCAAGACGGCTTCCGAAGGGCCCAGACGGCGCAAGAGCGCCCCAAGGCGGCCCAAGAGGCCCCCAAGAGGCCCCAAAGGTGCTCCAAAGAGGCTTCCAGGGGCACCCAAGAAGCCTCCAAGATGCCCACGGCCCAAAGAAACCACCAGGAGGCCGAAGGAACTGTATACGAATGGCGCGCTGTTGCCATGCTCATCGGAATGTGAACTTGGCGTTGCCTTGTGCTGACACGCGGTGAAAGCTCATTGCCCTCGTGGTCCCCTCCCGCCTGGCCCGTCTGAATGGCCTCCTGTCCAGCTCGTTCGCCTCCCAAACTCGGCGGCGAGCCCGGGGGGGAAGTGAGAAGGGGCGGGCCTTCTGAGAAGGCTCAGAAGTCCCCCAGCCTTCTGAGAGGATCCTTGAGCCTCCCCCGAGGACACACAGCACTTCGCAGAAGGCGCGAGGGCTTCTGAGAAGTCCGCCCGCCTTCTGAGAAGCCCTTCTCCCTCTTATTTTCCCCCCCTCGCTCGCCGCCGACAAACGGAACCCCTCCACTGGTGCCACCTTCCAGCCACGCAGCACCTCTCCTTGCGAGCCCGCCGTCTGACAGGCGCCCCCTCTGCCCCAGCTCCCGTCGGGCGAAGTTCCCCATCCAGCGAACCTCCGCTCCGGGCAGCGGTCTCTCTCGATATACACCCCCTCCTCTTCCTCCTCCTCCTCCTCCTCCTCCTCCTCCTCCTCCTCCTGTTCGCCTTCCTCTCGGCCCTCGAGCTTGGGCCCGGACTCTCCCCCCGGCCGTTTGCGCCTGTTCGGCTGAGGAGCGCCACGTGTGGCTCTTCGGCACCCTGAGGGAGGGGGCTGAGCGGATGGAGGAGGGAGGGTGCTGCGAGTGGCGGCGTTCGCGCTACATCTGCTGCTGCCGCACTGCATCTGCTAAGATGCTGCACTGCTGCTCAACTGCGCTGCCACAGACTTTCCCTGCCACCACGAACTGCACTGCTAATGTGCTGCAGCTCATGCTGCTGCTACTATGGCTCTCTGTGCTGCCACGCCTAGGGCTGCTAGACGAGCCTGGTATACTACAAGTGCACCGTGCTACGACTACGACAGCGACTACGACAACGACTACGACAGCGACTACGACTGCAGCGACTACACTACAACTCCGAATGCATTTACCACCAACAGTACACATACAATATGATACTGCTACTACTGCCGTGAAAAGGTGCCACTGCTTCCGCAACTGCTCCCCCTGCACTCCCGTACTACCCAAATCGTTGCGCACTACTCGGTGCACGCGGCTCGCCACCGACTCCTCTGAATTTCGCACAAACCGCTCTACCGTCCAGTCGGCAACCGGTATGTACTCGCTGGGTACGGCCCACCATCAAACACTACTTACTCACAGTGCTCACTACCTACGCCACTCACACTACTGAATCCGCATTGCCACCTCCATGACGACTCCCGTTGCTCGCACTTCGCTCGCTACTCCCACAACTCTGGCAACCCACGCTAATTCAAACACGTACCTTCACTATCCCCGCTAAGGCACTACCCGCGATCCACTGCGAATTGACTAGAACTTCAGTAAGTGGCACTGCTGCCATCGAACACCTTGAACAGCTTTACGCAATTACGATGGCGTGCCACGATGGGGGGATATGAGAGATTGGGCGTAGGGCTACGGATAAACAAATGAGAGATTGGGCGTAGGGCTACGGATAAAAAAGGATGGGGAGATGGGGATCTGAAGACAGGGATCGGAAATAAGGGATGATGCCTATGTAGCGATAGGTCTACGGGGATAGGGAGGGATGGGGGGGGCCACGATGGGGGGCATCGTAATGGGGATTCGATCTCGGGGTTAGGATACAAAGGGATAGGGATACAATTACAGGGATGCGGGTATGGATTCTGGTGAGAGGGATATCCGCCGGCCCCCGCTTGCCGGGGGCGAAAAGGGCCAGAGGAGGAGGAGGAGGAGGAGGAGGAGGAGGAGGAGGAGGAGGAGGGCCATTCCGCAATCCCCTGGGGCCCAACGTCCCGTAAGAGCGAGAGGAGCTGCCCGAGACCACCTCCGGCAAGACGGCCTCCAGACGGCCCACGACGCCGAGCGAGGGCCCCAAGCGGACGCCAAGAGTGCCCCCAGAGGCACGCAGCAGCCAGCGCTCTGCCATGGGCTGCGACCGCCTCCGGAGTGCTCGCTGCTTCGGGCGCCCGAACGCCCAGGGCGCCCCGATGGACCCCGCAGGCTGGCCCAACCAGGCGGCCCAGGAGGCCGCCAACGAGGGCCTGGAGCCAGCCCAAGAGGGCCCCAAGACGCCTCCTCCTCCTCCTCCTCCTCCTCCTCCTCCTCCTCCTCCTCCTCCTCCTCCTCCTCCTGCTCACAGACACTGGCTGCTGGGCACTCGGCCCCCTCGGGGGAGGCCGAGGCCTCGCTCCGGTGCGCCGCGGAAGGCCCCCTACCTATGGGACACGCAGAGACAGACTATAGGACCGCATGGCCTCCTCGGAGGCGCAGGCCCGACCCGAACATGCAGTGTTGAAGGGGCCCCAGGACACACAAACAAGTACACACAAATGAAAGGATCCCGCACATTCTCCTCTATGTTTTTCTGGGTGTTCGTCTTCCCCCCCACTTATTCCCATACTTTCCCCTATCTTCCTGGGAGTCGACGACTAATTGTGCCTGTGTGTTTCTTTCCCTCCTGAAGTATACCCATCGTGAAGTACATCGCTTCCCGAGCGGTGTGGCCAGAAAGCGCCCGCCACGACGCACATACTAGCAGGTCTCTCGGTGCGCGCGACGCCGCCGGGGAGGCGACGCACACATAGCATTAGTATGTTGGGGCGACGCCGACCCCACTCCTCTGGACCGTCCTCCCAGGAGCTCGCGGAAGTGGCGACGCCTGCGCCACTGTCGGCCCCCAGGGAGGGCGAGATCTCCGTGCGGATGCCCCCAAGACGTCGCCCCGCGGCACCTCCCAGGGGCTGACGAACGTGGAGGCGCTTGCGCGGCTGGCCGCACCGCCCAGGGAAGCACGCGCGAGGTCGTAAAAGCAGGAGGCAAGTGAGACGCAGAAGGTGGGGCATGAGACAGGAGGAGGAGGAGGAGGAGGAGGAGGAGGAGGAGGAGGAGGAGGAGGAGGAGGAGGAGGAGGAGGAGGAGGAGGTACAGGAGGAGGAAAAAGAGGAGGAGGAGGAGGAGGCGGCGGCAGGTGGAGGCGAGGCAGGAGACGGGAGGAAACGCGTCGCGATGTTCTCGTGACGCCAGGTCACCGGCCCCCTCCTCAAGACCGCCCCGCCCCCCCCCCCGCCCCCCGACCTCTCCTGGGGGCACGGCCTGCCGGGGCGGACCTGGTCGTGGTCACGAGGGCGCCCCAGAAAGAGAGAGAGAGAGAGAGATAGGGAATCGAACTCTATACACCGACGCTTCTTCCGGCCCTGCATTGGAATTTGCACTGGGGAGCGGATCCTGTTGTATACGGGACCTGGTGTATACAATTGTCGTTGTTTCCCCAGGATATCGGGGAAAAAATATACACCACACCACCCCAGCGTCGTCCTCGACCCTCAAGAAGTCCTGAGATTGAAAACCAGCCCAGCACTGGTAATGCATATGTTCCAGTTTCCGAAGAGAGGACAAAAACAGAAAAGAAAAAATATAGAGCTGATTGCACAGCCCAAGCGCCGTGGCCGCAGGGCGTCGCCATACCGCTTCAGAGTGCGGCGCTCCAGGCCGCGGCAGACATGACGCTGTCTTGCCAGTGAGGAAAGCAATGGCCATCTTGGGAGGAAGGAGTTGCAGTAGCATCTGGATGCAGTGAACGATACCTTCGGCCGTCTACGGGCGATGATATCCTCACTCCTCCCAGCCTCATCCTCCCACTCCGACAGCTCCTCCTGAGCCAGAGCCCTGGCAGGGCCTCCTCCGCCCCCGCAGCCCGGACCGCGCGTGCAGACGCCGACACAGGGCCCAGGTGTTCTGGGAGGGCGGGCGCCCCGGGCGGTCCAACTGGGGGCCCAAAGCACCTCCGGACACCTCGGCCCTCGGTCCTCGCATAGGCCCTCGCCCCCCCGACAGTCCGCGCGAGGCTGTCACTCCGTGGCGGCCGTACAGGTCCCGGCCGCTTCCATCCCAGGGCAGGCTCTTGTATCGGCTACACGCAGGAGTGGCCCTGGGTAGGAGTGACCTTTGGCCGCGGCTTTTTGGGGGCCGCGGGGTAGGCGCGCAAGCCGCTGCTGCCGCTTCGTTTTCAGCCATCTGGGGACCCATCTGTGCCCGCACCAGAGGTCACTCCGGCGAAAGGTCACTCTTACGTCTAGTCGATTGTACCAGATCAATGTTTGGCCGTGCCCGGTCCCGCAAACGACCCCTGATGGCCGAGATCAGGGAAACAACACCGCGAGTACACGAGAACAAAGAGATCGTCGGAGATCTGGGCCTGGCGGCTTGCCATAGCTGAGTCGTGGCCCGAATCGGTTGCCGGAGCTGCGAACGGCTGCCCGAGGCCTGAGCTGCTCAGGCCTCTGGCAGCCGCTGAGGGCGACCTGCGCACACCCAGAACGCACTCGGCTGGGCGCAGCTGCTGGAACACATCTCGACGCTACACAAATCTCAAAGGACCCGGAATCCCAGACATCCGCTGACGTGAATGTTCGCGTTTTTTTTTTGTTCCTAAAAAACAGTTTTTTAGGACAAATAATAAAACAAAAAACATCTCGTCGGAGATCTGGGCCTGGTGGTTTGCCATAACTGATTATGGCCCGCATCCGTTGCCGGAGCTCCGAGAGGTTGCCGAAGGCTCGGGCTACTCGGGCTTCCGGCTACCGCCCCCCCAGAACGCTCTCGGCGAGGCGCAGCTGCTGGAACGCTTCCCGAAGCGAGAATACCTCCAAGGACCTGGGATCCCGGACATCCGCTGATATGTTTCTGTCACTGCGCGGCCCCAAAGTCCGGGGTAATCCCACCAGACCTCCAGGCGTCGGTGGTTTAGGGAGTTTCCTCTTCCACCCCTCCTTTTTCCCCTTCGGAAAAGGGTTTACCACAGTTCCCTATTAATATACACCCCCTCCCCCAGGCGACTGGGAGCCAACCAGGGTCAATGCGGGCTCCCCACACACCATCCCTTGCAAAAAAAAGACACTCTGCCTCCAAATTCGGAGCATGCGCAGCGAATCCTATGCGGCCTCCCCCCACCATCCCTGTCACAAAAACAATACAGAGTACACTTGGCGGCGGCGGCGGCGGCTGCGGCGGCTGCGGCGGGGGCAGCGGCTGCGGCGGCTGCGGCGGTGGCGGCGGCGGTGGCGGCGGAAGCGGCGGGGGCGGCGGCGGCGGCGCGGCGGCGGCGGCGACAGCGGTGGCGGCGGCGGCGGCGGCAGCGGCTGCGGCGGCGCCGGTTCGGCAGCGGGGGCGCGGCGGCGCGGGGCGGCGGCGCGCGGCGGCGGCGGCGGCAGCGGCTGCGGCGGCGCCGATTCGGAAGCGGGGCGACGGGGCGGCGGCGGCGGCGGCGGCGGGCGGCGCGGCGGCGGCGGCGGCGGACGGCGGCGGCGGGCGGCGCGGCGGCGGCGGACAGCGGCAGCGGCTGCGGCGGCGACGCGGCAGCGGCGGCGGGCGGCGGCGGCGGCGGATTCGCCCCCAGTAGCTGCCCATCCAAAGACGACTGCTGAATATGCTGCGGCTCGGGCCAGGCTCGGGTGCTACGTATGTGTTGGGAGGGCGGGTGGGAGTGAGCGAGACGGCTGGCGGGCGGGGAGGGAGTCTTGACCCCTCCCCCTACCCCCTCCCCTGGACCTGGACAAGGGGTTCCGCGAGGTGTCGGAGCGTCCAAAACGGCCTCGGCGAGGAAGCAACAATCATTGGTTTTACTATGGTTTTGGCACCATATTGGCCTCTTTGGGGGGGGGCTAATTCAAGCTCCCCTCTTGTTTGATCGATCTCCTCCAAGATGGCCCCAAGAAGCGCCCAGGAGGCCCCACGAGGTCCCAAGATGGCCCCAAGATGGCCCCAAGAGGCCCCCAAAAGGCCCCAAGGAGGCCCCCCAAAGGATCCCAAGCGGCCCCAAGAGGCCCCCCCGAGGCACCCAAGACGCCGAAGAGCTCCCCACGAGCGCCAAGAGACCCCCAAGACGTCCTTAGACGCCCAAGAGATACCCCAAGAGGCTCCGAGAAGCATCCAAGAGACCTCTGGCCCTTTTGCTTGCTCTCCTCCTCCTCCTCCTCCTCCTCCTCCTCCTCCTCCTCCTCCTCCTCCTCCTTCCTCCTCTTATCCCTTCTCATCCTCCTCCTCCCCCATCCGCCGCCTCCTCCTCCTCCTCCTCCTCCTCCTCCTCCTCCTTCTCCTCCTCCTCCCCATCCTATTCATCCTCCTTCTCTCTACTCCCTCATCCATCCATCCATCCAATTTTCTCCTTCGCCCCCTCTGCTTCACACGGTTCGGCCGTCCCCCTCTTTGCTCTCGCACTTCCCTGATCACCTCTCAGCTCGCCTGGACAGTGTTTCTGGACGGGCTGGTGGGGATACGCGAAGCGTCTAGAGTTATGTTTTCTCTCTGGATCCGTTTTTGGCCCCGGGGCCCGAGGATGGGCCCCCGAGGGCCGAAATCGAGGAAACAGCGCCAGTTGGAATCATCGCATCTTCGGAGGTAGGCGCGAAAACCCTGGGACCTGGCATGGTCGATCCTCGGCCCTGGATCCTCCGGGCCCTCCGTCCTCCTCTGGGCCCGCCCTCCTCCTCTGGGCCCTCCCTCCTCTTCTGGGCCCTCCCTCCTCCTCGATCCCTGCCTCCTCCTCGGGGCCCTCCCTCCTCTGGGCTCTCCCTCCTCCGGGGGCCCTCCCTCCTCGGGGCCCTCCCTCCTCCTCTGGGTCCTCCCGCCGAAAGCTGCCCCCAAAGCTACCGTCGCGACTTGCGTCACGACGGGATGGGCCGCTCGCTAGCGACCGTTCGGAGCGATCCGGGCACCCCTGGAACGCCCTCGGCGAGGCGCAGCCGCAGGACGCACCCCGGGGCTGGAACAACGGCCGTGGAACCAGCGAAGACGACCCTCGAATCTCGACCACGACCTCCCAGGCATGCGGCGCCCTGACTTTTTCGATGCGCGGTCCCCAGAAGTCCCGATCCTTTCCCCGGGACCGGGTCTCCATCCGGAGCTTTTGACGGTCCCTGGGCCTTGCGAGGGCACCCAGAGGCAGAAAAATGGATTATCCCGGCAAAGCAACCTAACAGCGATGTGTAGGAGCATTTCTGGAAGCATTCCCCTTAAGATTCAGATGAGAATCCAGTTGTAGAATTCTGCTGTTCTCACAGTCGTAGTCGCATTCGCGATGACAGTCGCAGTGGCAACGGCAGTCGCAGTCACAGCCTCAGCCTCAGCCTGCCTCAGCCTCAGCCTCAGCCTGCCTCAGCCTCAGCCTGCCTCAGCCTCAGCCTCAGCCTGCTTCAGCCTCAGCCTCAGTCTGCCTTCAGCCTCGGCCTCAGCCTCAGCCTGCCTCAGCCTCACCCTGCATCAGCCTCAGCCTCAGCCTCAGCCTGCCTCAGCATCAGCCTGCCTCAGCCTCAGCCTCAGCCTGCCTCAGCCTCAGCCTCAGCCTGCTTCAGCCTCAGCCTCAGTCTGCCTCGGCCTCGCCTCAGCCTCAGCCTGCACTCAGCATCAGCCTGCCTCAGCCTCAGCCTCAGCCTGCCTCAGCCTCAGCCTCAGCCTCAGCCTCGCCTCAGCCTCAGCCTCAGCCTCAGCCTCAGCCTCAGCCTCAGCCTCAGCCTCAGCCTCAGCCTGCGCCTCAGCCTCAGCCTCAGCCTCAGCCTCCTCAGCCTCAGCCTGCAGCCTGCCTCAGCCTCAGCCTGCCTCAGCCTGCCTCAGCCTGCCTCAGCCTCAGCCTGCCTCAGCCTCAGCCTCAGCCTGCAGCCTCAGCCTCAGCCTCAGCCTCAGCCTCAGTCTGCCTTCAGCCTCGGCCTCAGCCTCAGCCTGCCTCAGCCTGCAGCCTCAGCCTCAGCCTGCCTCAGCCTCAGCCTGCCTCAGCCTCAGCCTCAGCCTGCCTCAGCCTCAGCCTCAGCCTGCCTCAGCCTCAGCCTGCTTCAGCCTCAGCCTCAGTCTGCCTTCAGCCTCGGCCTCAGCCTCAGCCTCCTGCCTCAGCCTCAGCCTCAGCCTCAGCCTGCCTCAGCCTCAGCCTGCCTCAGCCTCAGCCTCAGCCTGCCTCAGCCTCAGCCTCAGCCTGCTTCAGCCTCAGCCTCAGTCTGCCTTCAGCCTCGGCCTCAGCCTCAGCATGCCTCAGCCTCAGCCTGCCTCAGCCTCAGCATCAGCCTGCCTCAGCATTCAAAATGTGGCCCGGGAATTGAGTTCTGGGAACTCGAAGAACACGAAGTGGCCTATAGTTGGCTCCGGGCATTCAAAATCATGCCCAGGAGTGGAGTTCTGGGAAGTCGAAGACCACGAGGTGGCCTACAGTTGGCTCCGTGCATTCAAAATGTGGCCCGGGAGTTGAATTCTGGGAAGTGGAAGAGCACGAAGTGGCCTACAGTTGGCTCTGGGCATTCAAAATATGGCCCGGGAATGGTGTTCTGGGAAGTCCAAGAGCACGAAGTGGCCTACAGTTGGCTCCGGGCATCCAAAATGTGGCCCGGGAATGGAGTTCTGGGAAGTCGAAGAGCACGAAAAGGCCTACAGTTGGCTCCGGGCATCCAAAATGTGGGCCGGGAATGGAGTTCTGGGAAGTCGAAGAGCACGAAGTGTGTGACTGTTTGCTTAAAACGAGCCCGGCCCTGAGCCCGGCCCTCGCTGTCCGGACGCCGCCCAGACCTCCCTTCTGAGTCATCAGATGCTCTCTTTTGACACCACTAGAAACCTATCAGTCTTCGCTGTTAGCTAAAAAACAACAAAAACAAACAAAACTCGTCGTGATTTTTTACGACGCGAAGCTGAGACCAAAATACATTGGGTGAGGATAAATCGGGAATGTCTGAGATCCGGCGGCTCTGGAGGATGTCTCATGCGCCGCGGCCTTCTCAGATCGTTTTTTTTCACAACCGTCCTGTGGTGTTGGGTCCTCGTTTTGAAGAGACGGTGCTCCGCGTTCCTCTCCTCTCCTCCTCCCCTCCTCCCTCCCCCTCCTCCCTCCTCCCCCTCCTCCTTCCTCCCTGCGTTTCACCCACCGTGTACAGCGTCTCGTGGCCCCACAGGGAGCTCCACCGAAGACCCCTGTGGCAGGGTTCGCATGGCGGCCCCGCGCCATGTGGGCGCACCCCTCACACGGTCCGTGGCCCCATAGGGGGCTCCTCCGAAGGCCCCAATGGCAGGGTTCGAATGGCGGCCCCGCCCCATTTTTGTTTCACAGCTCACACGGTTCGTGGCCCCACAGGGAGCTCCACCGAAGGCCTCAGTGGCAGGGTTCGCATGGCGGCCCAGCCCCATGTGGGCGCATCCCTCACACGGTTCGTGGCCCCACAAGGAGCTACACCGAAAAACCCTCGTTGCGGCGGCTCCGCGACATTTTGGCGCACCCCTCACACGGTTCGTCGCCCCACAGGGAGCTCCACCGAAAGCCCCAGTGGCAGGGTTCGCATGGCGGCCCAGCCCCATTGTGGCCCATCCTTTACACGCTTCATGACCCCACAGGGAGCTCCACCGAAAGCCCCAGTGGCAGGGTTCGCATGGCGGCTCCGCGACATTTTGGCGCACCCGTCACACGGTTCGTCGCCCCATAGGGGGCTCCACCGAAGGCCCTAGCAGCAGGGTCCGCATGGCGGCCCCGCCCCATTCTGGCGCACCCCTCACACGGTTCGTGGCCCCTTTGGGAATTCCCCTTGCTTCGTCCCACTTGCCCTGCGGTTCTTACACTTGCGTATGTCGGGAGCGGCCAAGAGGGGGGTGTCCAAGAGGGCGGGGTGCATATCCTGACCGGCGGCATGTGCGCGACCCAGCGGGGGGGCCAGGGACGTAATGAAAGAAGAAGAGGCGCCATGAAATCTGGGGAAGCATCATGGCCCCTGCCATGATATCCACCCCCCCAGTCATCACCCCCCTCTTTTCCGCCCCCGAGTATGGTTGGGTCCTTCGCCAGGATCATTTTTTTTCTGGCGGTCGCCGGGCATGCCTACGGTCCACCTCGCGCCACGTGCCCGTCGCTAACGCCGTCGCCATTGCCACTGCGGGCAGAAGCACGAAGCAAACGGGCGACACGACCGGGCATATAGACGGCGAGGAGGGGGCAGAGAAAGAGGCAGGAGGAGGAGGAGGAGGAGGAGGAGGAGAAGGAGGAGGACGAGGGGAAGGGCAAATAGGACGAGGAGGGCGAGGGAGCCACGGGACATCCAAAACCAGGAGGATTGCGCACCTAGCCTCCGCCGCTGCAGTCTCTGGACTCGGCCGATGGGCGCGCACCCGGCGCGCTCGCCAGCGCGCTCGCCGGGCCGCGGGCCGCGGGCAAGAAGGCCCAGCTGGGGGCGGCCAGCGCCGCGCGCCCCGCGTCGCCGCGAGGGGCGCCCCTCTCGGCGGAGGGCCGCGGAGACGCCTCGCGGCGTCCTCGAGCTCGCCGCTGCAGCCGCCGCTGCCGTGGGTCCTTCAGCCTATCTTCAGCTGGTAAACCGAAGTTTTGGTCAAGTCGTAGCTGATCGCATCTTTTCTCTCCATGTGGTAGCACTCCAAAATGTCCATCGGGCACTTCGTCTTACCGCGCCACTTCGCGGTGAACTCTCCGGGCACCAGCGAAGCCTGGTCCGCAGCGGCCGCGAACTCCATGGTCCCCGAGCTCTCGTTGGAGTCGAGCTGCGGGATCGTCCAGTGCACGCACTGGCCGTCGTACGAGAACTCGCCCGGCGAGGCGCTGGAAACCGATGGCCTGGAGTTTGCCGGCGCGGGGAAGCTGATGACCACGTCCTCGAGCACTATGTTCGTGTCCGTCAGCTCAAGCTCAACGACCATCTGGGTGCCTTCGGCTGTGGAGCTGGGCCAGACGGCGATCTGGACTGGGATGAAAGCCTCGTCGGAACTCTTCATCTGCCACTTGAGGAGCGGCGCTGGCTGGTTGGCGCGGAAGGCCTTGGTATTGTCTCTCACCTCCAGCGCGTTGTTGGAGTAGGAGGCCTTGTTCAGATTTGGGTGCACCTTGTACTTGAACGCCTGGTTCTGCTGATTCAGCTTGAAGCTCACCAGGTCGGCCTTGGCGGCGTCGAGGACCGTGACCTGGAACTGCCCGGTGCAGGAGGCCTCGCCCTCCATGCCACCCTCCAGGCTGAGCTCTGCCACTATCCGCTCCTCGATCTCCACCCTCACCGGGTCCATCAGAGGGTTGTACGCGGGCGCGGCGGGCTCCGGCTCCGCCGCCTCTTCGGCGGGCGTCGGCAGCGCCGGCCCTCCGAAGATGTCGCCGGGCCTCTTCTTGCCGAGAGCCATGCCCCTCTTGGGGGCGGTCGGCTTGAACATGTTCTTGTCGCTGTCCTCCATGCCGCCCATGTTCATATTCCCGGGCTGGAACTCCTGCGTTGGTCCGCTGGAAGACATCGTATCCTGGAAGGACGAGCTGCCGATGCCGGACATGCCGCCAAAGCCCCCCGGGGTCTTTCCGCCGCCGGAGTCGTCGGAGGGGCCACCACCGCCAAAGCCCTCCATGGCGGGCTTCTTATCCAGCTTGCCCTCCTTGGCGATCTCTGACTGCCTCTTCTTGGCCATCTCCTTCGCCTCGTTGATCTTGCTCTGCTCGATCATGTGATGAAGTTTTTCCTCGTGACTGTCCATCTCCGTGTAAGACTTGATCTGCGACAGTGTCACGCTTTCGCGGTGGCCAAACGAGATGACCTCGTCGAAGGCGAAGACGATGTCCAGCGCGTTCTTCAAGACCATCTCCTCATTGACCTGGATCTGGCAGCAATCCTGCACGACCTTGGCCATCAGCCGCAGCGTCTCAATGTCCTCGAGGATGTTGCTCGACTTGTTCGTGACAAGGACGAGCTGCATCGCCTCGATCGGCTGATAAACATACCGCACAGTCTCTGTCTCGATGAAGGTGTGGTCCTTGCCGGTGTCTACGAGCTTCTGGAAGGCGGAGATGAGGCCTTCGATGCGCAGCCGGGTCATCTCCACGAACTGCCGGGCGATCAGCGTCTTGCCCGTTGTGACGATCGCCGCGCTGAGCACGACCATCTCGGCTGCCCCCCACGCCGGGCGCCCCTGTCGCGCGGCGGCTGCAACAGGCGTGCCTGCCTAGGAGGGCTGCGCCGCCGCACCTCGAGCCAAAACGGCTACGGACGGTCTTCTCAGATCGTTCTGGAACGCTCTGAGATCGTTCTGGAACGCTCTGGAACGGATTGAACTATCCTCGCCCTGGCCCCGTCCAATCCCTGCACCTCCTGGATCCTCCCTCCTTCTGCCGCGGTCCCTCCTCCCACCTCCCTCCCTCCCTCCCTCGCTCTCTCGCTCCCTCGCCCTCCCTCCCTCCCTCAATCCCTCCTGCTCGTCCTCCTCCTCCTCCTCCTCCTCCTCCTCCTCCTCCTCCTCTTCCTCCTCCTAATCCTCCCAATCCCACTCCTCCTCCTTCTCCTCCTCCTCCTCCTCCTCCCTTCCTCCTCCTCCTCCTCCTCCTCCTCCTCCTCCTCCTCCTTGGGGCCATCCTCCCCCTCCCGGCCCTCCCTCCTCTGCGCCCTCCCCTCCTCTGGAGGCCCTCCGTCCTCCTCTGGAGGCCCTCCCTCCTCCCCTCGGCCCTCTCACCCTGCAGCTCCTGGACCCTCCTCCTCCTCCTCCTCCTCCTCCTCCTCCTCCTCCTCCTCCTCCTCCTCCTCCTCCTCCTCCCTCCCCATGCCGCGGTCCCGCTCGTCCGGCTCGTGCTGCACCGCGACCGGGCACGACAGCAGCAACCTCCCGGTGGCCCCCGGCCCGCCCTCCGCGGGCGGCCGGGAGAACAGCACCACCTCGCCGCGAGGGAGGGGGAGGCTCGAGGAGGCACGAAGGTCGTGGCACGTTGGGAGGAGGGGGAGGAGGAGGAGGAGGAGGAGGAGGAGGAGGAGGAGGAGGAGATGGAGGAGGAGATGGAGGAGGAGGGGGAGGAGGAGGAGGAGGAGGAGGAGGAGGAGGAGGAGGAGGAGGAGGAGGATGAGGATGAGGATGAGGATGAGGATGAGGATGATGATGATGATGATGATGATGATGATGATGATGATGATGATGATGATGATGATGATGATGATGATGATGATGACGATGATGATGATGATGATGAGGAGGAGGCGGAGGACCGAGGGATGAGGAGGAGGAGGAGGAGGAAGAAGAAGAAGACTAGTGTAAACCCAAGACCCATCAATGATTTTAGAATAGACCCCCCCTCCAAGCTCCCTCTTTAAAGGCTCTCTCAAGGGTTCATGTCCACTGGGGGAAATGCCCCGTTGGGAGACAACTGTTGGAAGTTCCTGAAACGTGCCAAAATACCCTTGTCGGAACTCCAACGCCACGAATATCAATCTGACTGCTTCGTCTGGGCGATCCGGAATCGCGCCAGAGCACCATTCCTGGGACCCCAATACTTCGAATCAATGTAACTGCTGCGCCCTGACAATCCTGAATCGTTCCAAAACGCCGCCGCTGGCACGCTGAACATGGGAACCCGTGGAACTCTTGCAACTGTTCAAAACGAGTGTGCGCGGCGCTAAGGCGAGGGCCACATATTGAAAATGAGCCGCCCTCAATCAGCGAAACTCTTGCAATAGAAAACGAATGTGCGTGGCCGAACCACATTTTGAAAACCACCTGCCCTTAACCCGTGAAGCCCTTGCAAGTTTCTAGAACAAATGTGCGCGGCGCCGAGGCGAGCCAGCCCGCCCTTTCGACCAGCCTCGGGGCACGACGAGGAGGAATTCTGTAGAAGGGGAAAGAGTGCAAGAGGAGGAGGAGGAGGAGGAACAGGAGAAGAAGATCGAGGGACATAGATATTCGAGGACATGATCTGTTTGACCCGCGTTCTCTCCTCGCTCTCCATCGGCCCTCGGGGGCCAGGTCGTCGGGCCCTGGCTCCATCGGGAGCGGATCTGGGGCGAAGCGCTGCCCACGGGGAGGGGCCCCCGGGGCCGCGGACTGCCACGCCGCACACTCAAGAACGCACCTGCGTGCAGTGAGGGTGCAAAAGCGCATGGCTGGTGCGGACTGCGCCTAAAGAAACGGGAGCCACACGGGTGTGTGCCAGGGGAGGGAGGGGCAGGAGTGACTTAGGACGAAGCTAGGACGAGGATAGGATCGGGCACGACAAATCGAGAATCTCTGAGACCCGGTGGTTCAGGAGGATGTCTCGGGCGCCGCGGCCTTCCCAAAGCGCTCTGGAACGCTCTGCAAGCGTTCCGGAACGCTCTGGAACAGATTTACCCTCGTCCTGGCCCCGTCCGATGATAGGAGGAAAGAGGGAACGCTCTGGAACGGATTTACCCTCGTCCTGGCCCCGTCGGATGATTGGAGGAAAAAGAGAGAGAGAGAGAGAGAGAGGGAGAGGGAAGGGGCAACGGCAATGAGGATGAAGGGAGCGGTGCTGGAAGGGATGCAGAGGAGGAGGGAGGGGAAGAGGAGGGTTGGGGAGAGTGGGGAGAAGGAGGGAGGGAGGTACTGAAGGAGGGGGGCAAGAAGGGAGGAGGGATGAGAGAGGTATGAGGGATCACTGACCAGACTAACCAAGTCTACGAGCGGGCTGCTTTTCGACAGTCCACCGGGCCTGCACCAGGGAGGAGAGATAGAGGAGGGATGAAAAGGGGTGACGGGGGGACGGAGACGGGTGTGGCGAGAAAGTCCTCTCTCTCGTGCTGAACCATCCTGACCTCCCTCGTTAGTGAGGCGACGAGCGTGCGGGCCGACGAGGGAACAACGAATATGGGAGCGAGGATGGGGAGGGGATGCCAGGAGAGAGGAGCAAGAGGAGAAGCGATGGGGGAGGAGGCAGAAATAGGAGGAGGAGATGGAGGAGGAGGAGAAGGAGGAGGAGGAGGAGGAGAAGGAGGAGGAGGAGGAGGAG